CCCCAAAACCCCAAAACCCCATGTATCATTATAATAATTTATTGAAGCATTTTAAAATTAGAAATGATTATATCATGATCTCTATATTTCAATTATTTAATGGCTATCATATTTTGGAGTATTCCAACCAATTTCAGGTTCAAAATCTTTTATATTTCAAGTTTTTAAAATTTCCAACTTATCTCAAAGAATAAAACTAGCCTTATTAATCACAACTCATCTGCATTATCGATTTCGACTTAATATATGTAGATTGGAAGTGTTAAGATTCAAAATCCAATGCATCATCAATCTTATTAATCTAAATATCCTAATTATAGTGTGCTATAAAAGTAGCAATTTAAATCCTTTGACCAATTTAAGAGCTAATAGTTTTGTTTACTATCCTTATTATTAAAGGAGTGAATTTGATGGGTTGAGTAAATTAATTATTTTTCTCTAATGATAATTTTAGCTTATTATCTAATTGAATGAACTCTTAATAATAAATTATTCTCATCTTAACATCAAAATCATTCTTATGGAGGGACCAAATTCAGCAACAGTGCTTACGACTGATATGCAAATAAACTCTGTGTGGGTCATGGTATCTACTGCATTCATCTTCTTTATGGAAGCAGGATTCTTCTTGCTAGAAGGAGGATCATTGAGAAAGAAAAACATCGGTCATGTCTTATTGAAGAATATAATGTCTGCGTCAGTCGCAATGCTGATGTGGTGGTTTACAGGATATGGATTTGCTTTTGGTCCAGTGTCTAATCATTTTATTGCAGGAGATGGACGCTTTTTCGCATCTTCAAGATTTGAAGACTTTGAAATAGATCACTATCTTGGATTTATCTTCTAGTATGCATTTTGTACTACCACTACTTCCATTGTTTCAGGTTCACTCTCTGAGAGAACAACTGTACCAGTTTTTCTAGGATATTGTGCTTTTATGGCTGGATTGGTATATCCAGTAGTGGTAGCGTGGGTTTGGGGGCCAGGTGGTTGGCTTTTAGAGAGAGGTTATCACGATCTAGCTGGTACTGGCTGCATTCATTTAACAGGTGGAGTCGGTGGCATGATAGGAGCCATAATTGTAGGTCCAAGATTTTTGAATTCAAAAGATAAGAAGATGGTGAACTTAGATGAGCTTTTAAAAGAAAAGGAATATCAAGACGTTTTAAATACTATCGAGAGTGCTGAGGATAGAGCAATATTCCAGAAATGGTTCCTTAGTCAACTAGATGAAGAAATCAAGCCTCACAACTAAGCATTTATAGCACTTGGAACAATTATTCTCTGGGTTGCTTGGCTATTCTTTAATGGAGGTAGTACCTATTCATTATAAACTACTAGATAAAACTCGCCAACAAAAGTAATTATGAATACTATGCTCTCTGGTGCTGTAGCTGGTTTATTCACTGTTATCTTCAAGCCTTACATCATGAAAACAAGAAGCTCAACTTCTAAGTATGATATTGGTAACCTTTGCAACGGAGTCTTAGTAGGTTGCGTCTCAGTTACTGGAGCTTGTGATAGATGTGAAAATTGGGCTGCAGTTATTATAGGTGTTTTCGCTGCCTTATTTTACATCGCTGGATGTGCTTTCATTTAAAAACTTGGAATTGATGATCCAATTGAGGCTTGCTGTGTTCATGGATTTGGAGGTTTCTGGGGATTAATTGCTGTTGGTTTCTTTGATAATACTAAAGGAGTCATTTACTAAAGAGAAGGAAGAGGTTATTTCTTTGGCATGCAGATAGCTGGATTGTTCGCTATTATTGGTTGGACAATAGCAATGACTATAATTTACTTTGGGATTATGAAGCTTTTGAAAATTGATAGAGTCAGCAAATCTCATGAACTAATGGGATTCGATATTGCTGAGATGGGTGTATTGAACAAACACATCCTTTAAAAGATGAAGAATTAAGTCATGGCTAATGAGCGCAAAATAAGAAATAATCATGAGAAAATGCCAACGATGACAGATCTCTTGGCTAAAGATGAAGCGCTTGCATTAAGAGAAGAAGAAGCTGACTAATATGAAAATTTCAATGAGAAAAGAGAAGGAGATAGACCATTAGGTAAACATTCTCCTTCTAAGTAGACTGTATGAGAGTGAGGCAGTTCTTTATGATCTCACTCCTTTCATTCAATTACTATTACATTTCAGAGTTATATGGTCAATCAAACTCATTCAAAATTGATCATATACTCTCATTCCATTCATTTTTAAACATTTAAAAGCAATATTTACTCTAGGGGTTTTGGGGTTTTGGGGTTTTGGGG